TGTATGCACATTTTAATCATTTACACGTGTAAGAGGAGTTTCCATTTTTGTAAATAAAATATACGTTATGAACCTTTTTGACCAGTTCAAAATAGATTAGTTTGTCATAACTTGTCACGCGTGCGTACCTGGAATAAGCAATACATAATAATAAACTTTTTCACTTTTGCGAGCAAAAATACGTTATAAATGTGGGATTTCCGATACTTTTTCGTTCGCATTTCATACCGTTCGTCTGCCGAGTCAGAAGACTCCCGCGATTAGGAGCGCGACTGAATAAGTGAGAAAAACGACCATATAGTGAATCGGGCGGACTTACTCCGTGCGGATTTCGAGACGTAGAGGAGCAAGTTCTTGTAATTCTCGGCGGTGGCCGTCATCTCGTTGAAGCTCTTCACAATCGGCGTGAGATTGAACGCCGCGTACACGGCGCTCAGCGTGAAATGGCACTCGGAATGGCCCTTACTGCTGGCTATCTCGTGATCGTGAAACAGCAGCCCGCAGACTTTCCATTTCATTTGCCACAGGATATGTTTGAGCGCCACGCTCATCGACATGTGGGAGCCCATCATCCTGGTTAACGTCGGATAACTCCTGGCCTTGTGACGAAACGCGTCCGCCTGCGCGCCAGTCGTGAGCACGGGTATCTTCCATACACCCGCGTACCTGGCCACGGGCGCGATCACGTATTCGCATACGGGACCCAGAAAGGCATCTGTTGCGATCCGGGAGAAGATTCGTCAAATTGATTTATCGTATTTTGCGCCGGTTATCGCTGGAGTTAGTCGCGGACCCCCACGGAAAAATATACATTTTATTATATATAAAGAAAAGTAGAAAGGATACATTCATTTTACTGCGAAATTATAAAAATATAATTTAAATATTGTTCATACATGTCACATACATTTTTAGTATATTTTTGACATATATAATATTATATACGATTTTTTAAATAGAATTTTTATATACCAAATGTATGAAATGTATTACCACATATTTTCACCTACTTTTTGAAATATTATTTACAATATATATTTTTCCGTGGGAGGAGGGAGGCCCATTACGAGTGCGAAACATCAGGAAAAGGTCGATATCTCATCCAGAACTGAGTTTACCACGAAATTCAATCTTTCATGACTACTTAGCGCGCTAAGTGCCTTCCACAAATTAACGATTTATCGCCTTCTGTCAGAGAAGAAACGCTCTTTAAAAGTTAATCAGTGGATTAGCACTGAAAACAGTGAATGGTCACTGATTTGCAGTTATAAGTATACAAGGAGAGAATTTTCTCTTAAAATTTACCCTAAAAATCATGTAATCGCGGGACAACATAGCATATTGAAGACCTTTAGAAGAGTTTTGAAATATTACCATACATTCTACTAGTAAAATGTATACTGAGTATAATTCCCAGTGAAATGTACGGCAAAATTTTAAAAAACTCATAAGATTCTTCGAAATGTCATATTGTCTCACGATTACATGATTTTCAAGATAAATTTTAAGAAAAAAATTCTCTCCGTGTACCACCGCGATTTTCAGTGAAAATCAGTAACTGTAAATCAGTGACTATTCACTGTTTTCAGTGATAATCTACTGATTGGCTTCTAGAAAGCACCTCACCCAAAAAGTTACCAAAAAAATACGAAAAATTCAGTGTTTCGACTGAGAGACAAATAGCTGCGATAATCTTAAAAATCCAGGTCTGTGGTTTATTTTTACGTGGCACACATGAATCTGCTATCTGTCTGTACCTTGTATAGTTTTAAATACGTGGAATCGAGTCCTTTTGCGTCACAGCAGTGATAGAAAACAAGGTAGAGCCACGTGCGCGAAATAGATAACACGAATCTGAATTTATGAATTCGAATATTGGCGCTTCGCGTTATAATCCTATCAGTGCAGCCTATGTGATCCGATACGCCGATAACAAGTATATTGTTTATCGAAGAGACTTCGGTTGCAAGATGCACATTCATACGCGGTTGATTAACGTATCGATTCGTGGGCGCAATTAAATTAAGCCGGTACATTTCGTGCTCGCTCGCGTGGCCTACTCGCGAAGGGTGCACTTAGATTAGACCGCAACTGATTACGGAAATGTCGATGTAACGTCCTCCGCGCTTTTAACGATTATTAATATCGAATGTCTTTATCGTAGCCGATACGTGACAGATGTACGAGATGTTCCCGGCGCGGAATAAACCCCCGAAAAAATATTTGTTATTGCGTCAGCCGCAATGCACACGTGGAGCTGACGATTCTCCGCTGAGACTCGTCCGCTGCGTGTGTACGCATTTGTACGATATATTTTCCGAATGCGCGTGCAATTAAAATCTTGCCGACCGAAACGACGTCACGATTGGCGAAGGGAAAACTCAGCGACGTGCAACGTGAACACGAGGATAATAGAACGGCCGGCTAATTAAATAGATTGTTACTTTCCCGCTGTGCAAGAAACGCTTATTGTTCACGGGATTTCGAACTAAAATTCCATTATTTTCTACACAATGCTCTCTGCAATTAGCAAGAGACATTCGCTTCGTACGGAACAACGCGCGGACGCGTTGAAATAGAGACAGGGAAGACTTTTTTTAAATGATCACGAAGGTTGCCCCACAGACTTCTGTATACTAGACTGCTAGCTTCGAGCCGAGGGGTAAACCGCTGATGGCATTGTGGTGTACAGACTTGCGGCATTACTGGGCATTACTAGGCATTACTAAGCATTTTTGGGCATTGGCTTGGGCATTAGGCTTTGCTGGAGCATTATAAAGATAAAATAAGATAATACAAGATAAATAAGAGATAAAATAAGATAATAAGATAAAGTAATGCCCACTGGGCATTAGTGTACAAGATTTTGGTCAGCAGTTTTCCCCTCGCTTCGAGCTAAAAAGCGAAGCAAGAGCACCGCCATATTTTGTTAGGTAAATAAAGTAGTATGTGTTATTGTCGGGATGTCTGATTATTTTTATGTTATTTGGAAATGTTTAAAGTATGAACGGCGTGAGAGTGGGACTAATGTACATATTTACTACATATTTACTAATGTACATTGTTCAAGATCCTTAAAAAAGTTTTTAAAATATACTTAAAATACAAATTCGAAACATATATTCCAAAGGCGAAAGAAATTACGATTCCAGCCTATTGTAAGAGGTTTTGTCCATTCAAACAGAGCTTTGGTCTCACTGTGCGACGTGCACATACAACTTTATCTACCTAACAAGATATGCAGGTGGTCTTGCTTCACTTTTTAGCTCGAAGCTAGGAGTCTAGTAGTATATAGAAGTCTGTGGTTCGCTCTTATTTACGAAATAAATGCCATGAGACAATGTTAGAATAACGAGTCGGTGCGTTTCGCCCATGGACGTAGCATAAATGGACCCGCCATGCACTCTGCGAACTGGTGAAGCCAGCAGAACTGAGTGAGACAGAGAAGGTGCTTCGCTATGTCGAAGCGTAATGTTCTTCGGCGCGTCTTTGACATATGGACAATTTTGACAGATGGAACATTGTCGTTTTTAGAGTTTTAGAGAAAAAAGAACGTTTCCGTTTGTCGGTTCTGCTGGCTTCACCAGTTCACAGAGCGCATGGCGGGTCCATTTACGCTACGTCCATGGTTTCGCTCGCCGTTGAAATTAAAGCGTATCAGCTTTTACAAGCAATAGGCTTCAAACTGCGCTCGCTTCATTTACACGAACACGCTAAGCCGCGCGACCTGAAACGCCCGCGAAATCCTCGATTCTCGATGCCCGCGCGTTTACCCGCAAGCAATGCGCCTCCATGGAGCCGCGGTTCTAATTAGCAATCACGGGTGATATTGCGTCGATATCCAATTCCGCATAAAGGCAAACATTACCATGGAATAATCGGCCCGAACGACACGACAGTCCGCGTTTAAAACGCATTAATTCGCAGTGACGGCTACCGAATCCCCGCGGTGCGTCCAATTTGGGGCTTTCAATCTTCATCGATCGACGCTACGTAATATGATAATAACTGCGTCAGGTTACCTAGCGTCATTGTGGCTGCAAATTCCAGCGTAAAGCGGTTACGTCCGATTAACGCCGCATGCATCCCCAATGTCGCTGCGGCCCTGCATGCGGTCGCTTTTATCCGGCGAAACTGCCAAAGTTGCCCGAGTTCATGGCAACTGCACGCTACGAAGATTCCCGTGGGAATCTTATAAGCCCCATCGTGTCGTCAACGGATCGTGCATCAAGTCCCTTTTTTAATATCCCGCTTTTAGTAATCTCTCGCGTAATTTTAATTCGCTTTCTTACACAATTTTTTTCCACAATTAATTTCAATTTATTATCTCAACTCTAATTGGATTTTACCTAATTTAATTAAAGGCTTAATTTGAAAAGATTTAATTAAAGGCTTAATTGAAGAGCATTAACGTAAATATGAAATTACGATGGTTAATGCCGGAATCTTCCGTGAATTAAATTTCAAAATTCGATGTTACGACAAAATTACTCGAAAAATTCGCGACGATCGACCGCTCGCCGTTGATTGTTAGAACCAAATCGACTTGTTGCATACTATGTAAATCGGGGATTATACTTTCTGTATCTCTTGTGTCAACACGTTGATAATGTAAGAAATTATAATAGTACACAAAAATGAAATGTATTTCTGTGTTAATCGTCGTTCAATATAGAACGCACTTTTTAGAAGCACGTCCCGTTGAAACTTTCCTTTCGTCGGATGAATAAAAACTCGTCCCGCGCGAGGCTCTAACTAAAATGTGAGAGCGTGAAAACGTGACTCGTAAATTCGGCCGAAAATTAAGCCGCGGATGACGAAGTACATTCCCGACGGTGATGAGTTATTGCAGTCGCATTCCATATCCCGGTATACCGCAATATTTCGCGAGTAGAGATTATATACAGGTGCATAGTTTCGCACAAATAGACGAAGATCCCGTGGATTTCATGACGCAAACACGTGCTCGATACAGCTTGTGCTGCGAGCGAAAAGAGAATTCCACGGGTATGATTTATTTATGCCGATTTGAAGAGGGGGGCAAATCATGAATAATTCTAAATCGATCTTTAAAAACGCGCTGTTCGCGGCAACGGATTAAGCGTAACGAGATACGAAGCAGTAATGATAGAAATATTTACGTGACACGTAAAAGCGTATGTATGACACAATATCGCATATGTGTTCGTGCCAGATTAATTTAGTGTATGCAATATGAAGGTATCAATGCTTTTAGCAGCCGCGAAAAAGTTCGATGGAATAATATGACTTTATTGGGATTGGGGATTTTCGCGAACTCTCATTTCTCAGGATAAAAGAGATATGACTCATAGTACTCGACTAAGATATTCCAAGCTCCGCATAGACCGTCGATTCTATTATAGGCAGACTTATTTCCTCTCGCGCAGGCTTTTTCTCGGACCCCGCTCTTCAGACTCGTCGTAAGGAGCAACAAGTGTTATGTTATACGAGGGTTATCTGAGGGTTATCTACAGGGTTATCTCTATTCCCTAAGCACACGTAGATACGTAGACGCGCGAACCATCCACAGATAACCGAAGACCGTTTCATCTACGGAAGCTGACTCTTTCGGGGTAAAAGCTATTCTTGTCACGTGCTGCTGACTTGGAGCGGAAACCCAATTTCATTATTACTTGCTGGACGTCTACGTGATTATTGTCGAGTGTGAGATAATGTCGGATCATCACGTAATTA